AAGGCCAAAAGTACAAGTGGGTTCAAAAACAATTAGGCAAATTCATAGGTCCATCAATGGCTATTAGCCAAGACAGTCAGGGATTCAACCCCCTGCTCTGTGTGTCCCTAAACATCTGAATGCCAGAAGCTGGGACTGCACAACAGGGGATGAATCACTTGATAATTGCCCTGTTCTGTTCATTCCCTCTGAAGCATCTGACACCAGCCACTGTTGGAAGGCAGGATACTGGGCTAGATGGACCATTGCTGTGACCCACTATGGCTGCTCTTATGTTCTTACCCTTGGATTTCAATGGGAACTGCAGATGCTCCCCACCTGAATCACTGATTTAGGAGACTAAGTGTCGGCACCTGAGTGTGACAGTGTTGGTCCTATTTCCTGGTGTCCCATTCATCAGGGCACAGATCGCTGAGTATAGACTGTTGCACTGCTTCTGAAATACTATACAGATGAAATGCATAATTACTCTGGAGGAGAAAAATTTGGATCGTGTTCCATTACACACAGCATGTGGCCGTACGCCAGATCCTTCAGGGACAGGATTCTATCCAAGCCCAATAAAGACTTCACAATGATATCCAAGCACAACCCAATGCAACCATCAGCATGGAAGTCAACTGCTCCCCTGACTCACCATATCTGGATTCCAATCTGTTTCTCCAGGCTGCTGCTGGGGGTCAGCATCTTTGACCTCCTCCGTGCACTGGACACTGTGACCATCACCACCCGGAACAGCACGAAGGTATTTACCTGCGAGTCAGAAAAGAGCCACTAGCGTTGTGCACCAGAACAGGCTATTGCATTTTTAAGTGAGCTCTAACGGGGCAGGTGTGTCTGCTGGGTCTTCCATGCAGTTAAGTTTGCATCTTGTAGAACGATCAGCTTGTGGGATTCTTGAGGCCAGTAAAGAGCTCAGTTCGCACAAGCAAAGGTATCTGTACAGACCCCGGTCCAACTGGTTCATTATTAGAGGTCTACTGGCTCTTTTGCCTTTAAACATTTCACCTTCCTCTAGCATCGCTTTGTTGTATTATGATGGTGGAGTCATTAAAAGGACACAGGTTTTGCCATGCTGAATTGGACCTTTGGACCATCGAGTCCAGCATCCTGGCAGACAGTGGCCAATACTCGATTTACTTCTCCATCTTTGTAATGTAACCTCAGCATAGTAACTAGTATCTTCTGCTGAGGTATTAGATGGTAGGACTCTCTCCAAATACAATAATGTACCTGCCTATCTAACTGTACAGTGCTTCGTGCATAACTGCAAACGTTCCTTTATTCATTTACAGAGCTCCTGGCAGGAATTCACCCCATGTACAGGGAAATATTTGGACCATAACGAGAATAAATCTCAGACACTCTAAACGCCACCATCGTCCTAGATTAGAAAAGATCTTTGTGTAGGATCGTGGATCCCTTTGGCTCTGGCTGACAAAGCTCAGTGCTGCTTTCCTAAAACGAAAAGTAGAAATTGCTTCTATCCAGAATTATACAAAAGGGTGATGCTTACCGTCAGAACAAAGAGAACTGGCCCAACGAACGCCCAGATGATATCGGTCTGAACATTCAGCCAGCAATGATTGTCTGCCACGTACTTGTTAAATGAAGTTGCCAGAGTCACACCAACAATAACGACTGGCAGGCCTGAAAAAACAGGAAAACTGAGGACAGAAAATGCCAGGTCTACTATTGGCTGGTTAGTTGTTTTAAACATACAGGGCCAGATCCCCAGCTGGCCTAAATCAGTGTAAGCACATTGACCCCAACGGAGCTGCACTGATTTACTCTAACTGGGAATCTGGCCCATGCTGTGTAACTAGACTACGTTTTATATCCTATGCACTTTATTCTCTCATTCATAAAACATTCCAAAGCTGTGTCACAAGACATGAGCAACGTACTCCTAACAAGCAGTACAATCAAAGACAAACAATGCCAATTTGGTGTCTGTCTCTCAGCATAGTCACATGAACCCCAGACACTCTTACCTGAACCCCAATATAGTCACATAAATCCCATGGCCCTGATCCATTCATTCCGATAAATGCATCTCTTTCCAGCCAGAACTATTGTCAGGTTTCTAGAACCAGCCCCACTGTTGAGGGACACTCTCTGATAGCAGTCAACCAGCAGAGTCTCCCTCTGAAAATACTTTGTGTGTTAATAAAACAAAGGGTTACAAAATCAACGAGACACTTGGCTAAAATTCCAGCATCCGCTAGTTGACATTTAAAGATGGGAGAGAATCTGTGGGTGAGGCTGGTCCCCAGTAAACCCCCCAGGTCAATGCAAGCTCTTGTTAGACTTGTGACTCAATATCAGTTACACTGAAATCTTTTCTACAAGGATTTGTCGTTCAAGAGAAATTGATGCACGGTGTTCCTGAGAGTAAGACACAGATGGGTTTCCATTTACCCCAGCCAGTCACATAGTAAAACTTCATTCTCCTATCTTCACTCATGTTGACGGCAACCACTTTGCTCCACAGGAGAAGCCCTTCTACCAGCATCCAAGAAAATGCCGCCATGAAGAAGAGGTGGAGGAAAGCTGTGACAGCAAAGCACAGTACCTGGGGGAAGAGAAATTTCAGACAGCTCAGTGAGGGGGAGGCAGGAATCTTCTGCCAAACTGTGCGTAGTGCAGGGTGAGGAACGACTCCTGAACATGCTGCCGAATATTTGCCCATTCGGGCATTTAAATACAAATGATACCAGGACGATTGCATACAACTATAAAACAAGGACGTCCAGACTGTGCTTTGCCCAGCTGAGAGTTACAGAGCACCTTGCACTCAAAGTGCCTGACAAACTGATTTACAAAACATCCACAAGGATCACTTCACCCACCATGGAAATGCAACCAGCTCTTAAACAGCTCACAGCAATGCTGTGTAACAGAAGGGAAGGAGAACACTGTAGCTCACTGACAGTACCGGGACAATTTAAGCAGAGAGGATGGGCCAAACTCATCCCTGGTGTAATTGCCCAGGTCACTAAGTCCAAGAAGCCACCTGAAGGAGAAGATACCAAGGTAGCTTAGAACGGGCCCAGCGCCTCTAGCAGCCCCATGCTCCCCAGTGCTAGAACACCGGTCCAATGCATTCCAGGGGAGGGAATCAGCACCACTTCCTACAGCATCTGGTTTGTCCTTGGAAGTCTCTCCTGCAAGTACCGACCAATGCAGTCCCTGCTTAGCCTACGAGGTCACAGGAGGTGGTGTGATCCCAGGCTGGTATTTTATGCCACTTTACATGGCAGACTCTTCCTGCAGGATTCTCTGGGTTAAAAATAAATATATTGCCAGGAGTGGGGAATGGAACTGTTCCTACATATGGTGCAAAGCATATTCCCAAGGACAGTGTGATCCTGTTTATTCCTCAACACAGATTACAGGCAATCGTTAATAAACTAGACTATGCTTTTGTTTTAGGGGCTGTAGCCATGATGTCACAGCAAACAAGAAGTCTGGCAGCATCTGTTACTGGGTGAGATGAGATGCCTCCTAGCCTTCTTACCTGGTTGGTTTTGGCCAATTCACTAAACATGAGCAGAGCTTCAGCTGCAGCTAAAGCAAAGATCAGATTCTTGTGCACGGTTGTTCGTTCGCTCTTAGGAACGCTGAGGAAGGGGAAATGGAAAACCTTGGTCATTAAAAAGCATGGCTGGATTCGGTAGGAGCTGTGAGCGATTTTCTTACTAGCCACTTGTCAGACCATGTGGATTCCACCGTGTTGCCTTTGACCTCTTTGCTGCTCATCACAGAGGTGCAATTCCAAAGAGTGGAAAGCATCAGTGAAGAGAGGAAAAATACTTGATACTCTTGGCAGTGCAGTTACTCTGCCACTCAGGTCTTATTCAGTGCCCATTGGCTGTGGTCAGTGGCACTGTCAAGGCCCCCAAAGAACTGGAGGTTTTATTCCTTATAAACCTTCTTGGTGATCTGTCTCCCCGATGGTCTGTGGAAATGGTTTTTCCTTTCACTGCAATTGCAGCAGTGATCTTTCTACGGTCATATTTTAAACAATGAATTCCAGCAGCCCTGCATTCACGAGCACCCGTACACTAACAGTGTGTGCAGCCCTCAGCTCACAGCGACGCCCACGACAAGCAGTCAGTGTGTGCACCCAGCCTTGGGAACAACCCTGTGTACACAGCTCTGGGCTTCTAGACTACCCCATTAAAAACAAACAAACCCAGCACTGGTGAGCAAGCCTGCAACAACAAACCCGCTCCCCCTACACGCAGCTTTCAGACAGACAGAGCCCACTGGAATGAAATGGCTACAACTAACAGTATCTAATGTGCATTCTCAACTAAAGGCATTAAATATCATTCCCTCCGCCCCCCATCTATAATGAATGCTACAGATGTCTAGATTCTTCTTACCCAACTGCCAGGAATAAAATGAATGTAACAAGCAGGGCACAGAAAGAAACTCCACATCCAATAAACGTCAGGGTCTTCAGAGTCAGCTCCTCCTCTGAGCTCCTCTGTTCCAAAACACACAAAACAGGTACTGTTTGCAGCGGCGGGACCATCACCATGTTCAGACACTAATGGCTGCGGAGTGTGCCTGATCATTTAATGAGATTTTGCTCATTTACCTGCACTTCATACACCTGCAGCAGCACTGCAAAGTTGGTGGTGTGGTTGCAAAAGCAGGCGGTGGATTCCAGGTGAGACATTATGATGGAGCAGCCTAAAGTGGACCACATTCCCCCGGTGTCTGGGCTAACATGGAGCAAGAGAGAGAGAGAAAAAATATAAGGAAATTATCAGTCATCCCAAAGGGAAGTCAAAGCTCCCAGGAGAAATTCACACTTCCAGAGGAAGCAGAATTGTGCTGAGGCGTGATGGGGCATTGAGGACATATCTCAAGAAGTGGAGTTAGCACAATATAAACACCCTGCTGGCCAGGATTCCTCAGAGATCCAGCAGAAACGGAGACAAGCCGTGTCTAGATGAGGAAAAAAGAGGCTGTGTTTGAGTGCGTGTTAACAGGACTTTGCATCTCGTATGCACTGGGCAGGTGGTGTTTAGAAACATGTTAGTTGGGCTGGGTATTGCTGAGAGGAGATGAGAACACCCACAACCAGCTAACACATTTATAACCATGACTTGCCCGGTCTACGCTAGGCACAAATTCTGCTTAAAACTATATAAACTAACCCATGTTAATTACAATTTTTCCAAAACACATCCTACATTCCTGCTCTGGACAGGGCCTGAGCCACCCAGCAGTCCCACACGCCCATGTGCTTAATGGATCCACAAACTTGTGAGCTGTATTCACAATTTGTCAGATTTGTCCTCCATCAGTAGCACCACATTTTCACACGCCTGGCCCTGCTCCCCAGGAAAGGTAAAACTCCCATTGACGTCCACAGAATCAGTTCTGTGCATCAGCCACAACACATTGAGCCTGTGGCTTGGGGATTCAAATGATTGAATTACAGATCCATAAAACTTCATTGTCCCACTGCCATCACCCCAGTGATGTATAGTAAAATACACAACCCGGTGCCAGACAGTATTCATGAAGTGTTCGCACCCTGCATTCCTGCTGTGCTATAACTCTCAGCCCAGCCCTTCTTTGCCACAGGCAGGAGCCGTAATTAACCAGAGCTTTATGTTTTAGTCTCTCATACTCCATGAAAGGTCACTTGCTTGGGAGTAACTTTTCCAAAGTAAATCATCCCAGGAGAGAACTCAACTGCAGCAGGTCTGGATGTCAGAGCACAGAGAGACCTGGGATTTCTAATGCGGCAGAGGACAGAAACTGATTTAACTAAAGGCTTGCTTCACCCACAGGTTGGGTTTTCAATCATTTTGCTTCCGGGGGCCGGTGCTCTCATTGTCACATCTCTATCTTCGCTGCATCCCTGGTGGCAAAGGCAAAGGGGCTTGGAGAACTTTGTCTATGCCAGGCCACTCCCCCGGTGAGTGTGTTCTGTACAGCACAAGCAGTGCGAGAAATGCACGAGAGCTGACAGACTGTGCACCATCCAGGCTACTGGGGTTTAAGGAGTAATTCACACACCGCCTGGATCTGCCCTGGATTTAGAGCATGGAGGGAGCTGGGCACGCCGATTCCCAGCTGTCTAAGGTGTGAAGTTAGTCAGAAAAGCCAGTGCCCTCATTTTTTGATGACTCCAGACATGTTTCAGTCTTGCGTAGGACCTGACCAGCCTGAACTCTTACCCCCAAAGATGCCAATCCCCAGTCCTCCCTCACTGACCCGACAAGCAGTGGACGCTCCTAGCCCGCGAGTGGGATGGGGAGAGGGGAACTTCCAGTTCCAGCTATGTCACTTGGGGGGCTGACAGCTTTGCCCGGGTCAGTCAGATGCTGGGCCTCAGTTTCTCCATTTTTAAACTGGCCGTAATAACGGTTCGTTACTTCCCGACAGCAGCAGTGGGGAAGAGCTGCGCGGGTTCATCGCTGAGTGTTTAGGAAACACCCAAATAAAACCAACATGACTCAGGAGGTTTCCAGTCCCACCCCCTTGGGAAGAGTGGGAGGACCAAGCCTTTGGCCAACATGTTCCCTTGGAGACACCTTGAAACGTAGGGGGAGCTGGGACAGCCTTTGCCTAAGCCGTAAGGAGCCACTGAGCTGTCCACAGTGATGCTAGCGACTGTGCCAGCATATTTTCTTTGCAAGACAGGTTTGCTTTTGCCCAGTCCCCACCCAACTCTGCAGGGAGAAGCGAACTCACCCACCAGATTATTTTTTCGGGTGGGGGGGGGGAGGGACTCAGAAATTGCGAGTTTTAACTGGAAAAAGGCACCTGATGCTGAAGTTCCAGAAAGCGCAGATCGGTTCCACAAGCTTGTCAGGCGGGTCCTGCAGGCGGAGACAGAGAAGAGGCGATCAGACACTCCAGGGTGTGGGGTGTGCTGTAACTCGACCAATGCGCTAACCCAGGCCTGTTCCCCACATTTGGTTTCTAGCTGTGCACAATCAGCCAGCCCCAGTCTCACCCCTGCCCCCGGAAGCTGGCTTGGGTCTGAGACGAGTCAGAGGCAAACTTGGGAATTTTTAAATTCAAAGGGAATTTGATTCCTAGGAGACAGGCTTGGCTCACGGTCTCTCCCTGTCTCTGGGCTAGGACTCTGCAATGCAGTCTCTGTTTGCTCTTGCTCTCTTCCATCATTGACAGAGGAGGAGCATCGCCCCGGGTACCTGGGTGCGGTGCTGCAGGTGATAGCGTACAGATGTGCTGATCTCCTGGTAGTCACTGCGTAGAGTGGATGAAATAATGGCGGAGCCCACCCGTGTGCTCAGATACCTGGGGACAGAGAGAACCTTCACAGACAGGAGAGCTGAGCAGCGGGGTCATTTCTTAAACCGATGAATAAAATCTTTGCGGAGAACACTGACAAGGAAACAATCATCCCAGGGTACAATCAACAGGAGGGGCCCCCGATGCTGGAACAAAGGCGGCCAATGGCTTATCTAGCCTAGTGTCCTGTCACCAATGCAAACGCTTCCAGGAAGGCATCGCCTTTCCATAGTGGACTCCCCCGCCATGGGGAAGATGCCCTTCTGCCCCAGCTGATGAAACGGTGTTGATGTACCTTAGCTAATGCACCAGTAGATGCTTTTCTTGCTCATATTAACATGCAGGGCTGTGACGGCCAGAGAAAGGGTTTAGAAGAGCTGGGAAAAGTCAGCTCTAACTCCAGGCTACCTCCCAGGGGCATGTGCCATAGGTCAATTCTACCCAGGTGATGTGAGACACAGCTGGGCTGGCAGCCCGGGCAAGGGGAGCTCAGGGTCTCGGTCTACCAAGCAGTGACCCATTCTGGCTGCACCTGGGGCTGGAGTGATCAGAGCCACCTGCCCTTTGCCTCAGGGCGAGCTGTTCAGATGCAGGCACAGGGATCTTTAGGACAGAACAGATTGGGAGTTAGCAGGCAAACGAAAACCAGGCAGCCCCTCCCCCATGGCTACCGTAAATGAGGCTTCAGGTTAAATCATCCCAAGCCGGAGCAGCACCAGTAAAAGAGCGAAAGGCAGGAGGCGAGAGTGAGCAGCTGGCCTGTTGGAGGTGACAGGCTGCTGTCTCCACCTAGTGCTCCCAGAGCTCCCAGACGAACAGCCAGTCGCACGGCAGCTGCAGCCTGAGACGGCTAGTGCTTTGCCCAAGCCACTTTCCGGCCTGGTGCCCCTCCAGTGTCTGCACTGCCCCAGCCCCAGGAACCTCTGTTTCAAATTCAGCCATCGAACTGAGGTGGGGACTGGGCCAGTTCTTTCTGGACACTGTTAAATCATCCCAGTGAGAGGAGATCTCTGCAGGCTCATCCACATCCTTCTGCAACGGTAACCCTGCCCAGGAGAGGACCCCCTCTGGGTCCCTCGGCAGGGTCTTAGCTGCCAGCCACCACAGAACGGACTAGCCCTTTCCCCTCTTTAGCGCAAGCCCATGCGCCCTGGGGCCAGAGTCTAGCCTGGCCCCTGGTTCTGGGAGACATTTTCTGTGACGAACGATTGGCTGCATGTGGCTGCGGCAGTGGGAGGACACCCAAAGCACTCACGCTGCTGCGGACTCCCAGGGCCTGGCCAGGTCTGACTGGCGCATCCCCATTTGTCTGGGGGTGAGCAGTGCGACGACAAGGCGAACGCGCACTCACCGCCGTCCTCCGTCAGACGCGGCCACGTCCTGGAACACGGCACTGCTCCCCGGGAGGAAGCACTGGAGGGAGGAGTGGCCGTACCATGTGTTGATCGCAGTGACTCTGCTGAGACCTGAACAGAGACAATGGAGCGGGAGAAGTGAAAAAGCCTCCGCTTGGTACCCCTGATGACGACGCTCGGCCTGCTGTAAGTGTCAGTGGTCTCCTTTTGGTGGGCCAGCCCGGGGGTGGGGGCAGAGCTGACAGAAACTCACCCGGGTCGATGTGAGCCACAGTCCCCCGTGCAAACAGCCATGTGTCCAGGGTTATGGCTTCTGGGTTCGCCCCCTTGCAACTCCCTTTGAGGTTTAGTTTCAAACAAGCCCAAAACTTTGAGGCAATGGCAGTTTCACTTCTGTGACGGTCCCTAGTTCCACACCTGTGCAATGGGAATCCCAGAACATCCCTCCCCCGCAGGGCTATGGCCAGGACAAAGTCACTAAAGACTGAGCAGCTCAGACCCTGCGGCGATGGGAGCCAGCCAAGTACCTATGAAAAACAGGCCACATCTCAGCTGGCCTTACGATGTCCCAGAGAAATCCTCGTATGCAACGGCTCTTCCCCCTCCTCTATTTCCCTTCCAGCAACTGCCTCGCGAGAGACAACAGTGCCGGGAGCAAAGGACGGTCCGTCTCTGGTGCTTGTGGCAGAGTTTGTGTCGGGGAACTGGCTGGCCTAGGAGATGGGCAATGAAGCCATGGCCAGTGCCACCAGCCAGCGCTGTCCCCAAGGGGGTGCGGGGCCCGGGGTGGACGTGATGAATCTGTCACGTCCAGGACCGACAACGCTGGCCAATCGTGCTGGCCCGGGGGGCCCCCAAAGCATGGAGCCGGAGCGATCACCCCGATTCACTGTACCTAGGGATGGTTCTGCCACCAGCTTTGACCCAACCCCAAGTTGGCCATGACCGAAAGTCATTCGCCCCGATAAGGCTGTTGGGTGGGTTGTGTGACAGGAGCTGGTGGGTCTCAGCGCTGAGCAGTCTCACTCCCTATCACACAGCCATGCCCCAGGCTGTCCATCACAGCAGTGAGAAGCCAGACAGTACAAGGGCCAGGAGCCAAGCCCCGTCTCTCCAGGTCCGAGTGGAGGCACTCGGGTGGCGTGTTCGCACACACTGCTGCAGTCTCTGAAGTACCTGTTCGTGGAGCACTCTGCGACCCAGACCCATTTCCCTCTCCCTGAGAACAGCCTCCGTACAGCCGCTTGCCACACGGAATTTGGGCAGAATATGTTAATTCAGGTATTACCGCCAGCCCCTTACGAAGCTGCTGCATGAAGCTTCCCTCCTCTAAGTGGAGTCAGGGAGGGTCCGTCCAGGATGCAGGACCCAGCCCTCACCCTACCTTTGGCTTTAAGTCTTTCTACTTCTTCAGGGGGAACTTCTATGAGGTCAGGCCCGCCTGCCTCCTGGCTTTGGACCAGATACACGTCACTGCTGGGCTCCTGCCGGCTGAGCTCCATCTTCCTGACTTCGATCCCTGGGGAAACCACCCCCGTCAGTATTTCCTCCAAAGCCGCTACTCAAAATGCCATGGCCTGAGGCCCTGAGCAGAATATTCAGGATAGACCCCGGATTCCCCTGGAAATCAGCCAGCCATATTCAGGCTCAGTTCACTGCCCACCTTAACCCCAGCTGAGCAGTGTAATATTTGCCCTGGGGGGTTGTCATGCAATAATGACCTGGCTCCACAGAGGGAACAGGCTGAGCTAGCGGACAGCATGTGCGCGCGCGCACACACACACACACACACACACACACCCCTCTACCTTTCCAATAAGGGCAAAGCAGACACACAACAGTCCAGTGTCAGCCAGTGCCCTATCAGATCCACGTATTGAACACAACAGAGCTGGGTGTTCTCAAACCCTAGAGAATCTCGCCCGAGGCCCTTCCAGCCACTTGGAGCACAGCAGCCCCCCAAGTACCCCTAGGACCAAGGAGAGGACATAGCAAAAGAACCTGTGGGGGAGGTTCCCCCCCATACCCAGCCTCCTGGTGAGACTCTTCAGACGGTGACATCGTTGGCCAAAGGAAATGGTGGGAACTCCGAGATCTGCAAACTGAGCCGAGTCCCGGAGAACAGCCTGCCGGGCTCACTCCTGCTTTGTGTGGGTGAGAGCATGGGGGGAGGGATGGGACAAACTGACCTACTAGGGGTGTCCCATGTCTAGGATTCAGTGGGGTGTCTGCGTGATCCCTTCCCCCCGCTACCCCCACCTCCCCTGACACCCCAGCCCTCACTTCAGACCCGTGATACCACCCGAGTCCTTGGAGTGTTTTACACAACCACGCCCAGCCCAGTCGTTTGCACAGAAGACGATGCTGCCTAGCCCCTCAGCTTCTCTGCCAGCACCTGTGCCCCTGGCACCTGGACTAAAGTTTGTGGAAGCCCCTTGTTAAAATATTGGGAGCTCTCTGAGCTTGCCTGTGTACCTAGCTGTGAGGCGCCATGTGCGTGGGCACATCACCCTCTTGTGGAGGCCTTGGGGAATGTCACTCTGACTGGAGCATTCCTCAGTGCTACTGCATGGAAAGGATTTCTTGTAATTACGCTTCCTGGTTTGCAGTTTAAAATGAAATTACAGGGTGATGTTAAGTGATCAGGAAGGAAGGAAATACAGCCACAGCCTCGCCTCAAGCATCCCCTCCCACCCTTAAAATAGCAAGTTAACTCTCTGCAGCCAGATTTCCAAAGGAGGCCTCCAAGTGCCCAATGTTAGACACCCCAGGCCTGATTTTCCAAAGAGTCAGCAGGAGCTATCGGCTCCCCACACCTGCAGCTGAGTGCCCACAAACCAGGGTGCCTCAAATCAGCAGTCGTAGCTGAAATCATTGGCCATAATGCTTAGCCCCTGTATACCCAGTGTTATGTGACCTCGTGGGAGCTAGCAGAGGCAGGCCTGTTCCCCCAGTAATGACGTAGACACGGGATCAGTGAACAACAGAACCACCTCCATTTCTCCCAGGGCAGTTCCCCTCCCGCTGCTGGAGCTGCCGAAACCAGTTTCCCTTTCTCCCAGAGACAGGACATGCACACGCTGCCAAGAATTTCCTC